TCAACCTCAGCTGACAGAGATCCTACAGCTTTCTTGCACTGCCCTTTCTTGCTACACAAGCTGCTGTTGCTAAAGGTCCCATTCAGATTGTACAAAGCAGTCAGCACCATTGACTTCACAGTTTCCGAGTCATTCTTTTAAGACATAAGCATTTTCAAAAACTACTCGTACTGTGCTGAATTTTCTATTAAACACTTGCTCTGATATTATAATAAATCCATGCACCGCACCAGTACTAGTTATGCGTCACACGTAAATGACGTGGTCTGACAACGCTGAGGACATACTAGGGGGTACTATTTTTGATGGAAAAGCACGCGAACTGGGCCATGGCGCGCCGTGTAGAGTCAAAACGTACCGTACAAGGACTGTGGAAAAGCGGCAAAAGATTCGGCTATGGAAGCTAGGAAATGCAGATTGGAATGAATTCAGAGTCAAAACTGACTCATATGGAATGGCTTTGCTCCAAGGAATGTCTACTGATGTAACAGTATAGTTTCATTTATAATTCAGGCAGCAGAGGATACTATTCCTAAAAGTAAAGGTAACTCCTATGAGAAATGTGTGTCTTGGTGGAATGAGCCGTGCAATGAAGCTATTAGAGCCAGAGATAAGGCTTTTAAAAAGGTAAAACGTGTACAATCCATGGAAGCCCTTGTAGATTTTAGGAAGGCTCAAGCTGTTGTGCGGAAAACTATTAAAGTAGCTAAAAGCTCTTACTGGAGACAGTACACAACTAGCCTGGCCTTAGCCATCCGTACACTCCGTTCAATCATCGTTTCACTGCATGTAACGTCTGGGTCTAGTCCCTATGTTAGCGATTACAATCGGTTGAATTTCGACCGACCATTCAGAGATCGCGGAAGGCAGGTGTTGTAGTTAGTTGTGGGTGATGTCAACAGTTTGCGTCGAACAGGCAGGTTGTAGTTTGGTAATGGCAAATTATGCGATAGTAAAGTAATCCGGTCTGGTTCTATCAAGAAATTGAAGCCGGAGCAAGGGTAATGTTTAGCAAATGTAATCGCTGGAAAAAATTGTGGCGCTACTGCCCACGGGCTCCGTTAGCGGCAAAGGAGATGGCTAGGCTAAATGCTAACAACAGACTCTGGCGCACTACATACGTCACGGTAAACTCAGATCCAATCGTTTCAATCTGCTAAAGGAGTTAACCCCTCCCACCTGTAAACGGAGCTCAATGGAGCACCAACAGACCTTAGTACGAAATGTCATTTGTACTACGGTGTGGTACGACCAGGCTAGTACACAACAAGAATTGGGAGAGAGATTCAACTATCCTGGATATGGGGTATGGTTAAACGTATGAGTGGGGTGAGGAGAAACTATACTATGCCAGTTTTACTTGAGAATGGTACAGAGGCAAACAACAATTTAAACAAAGCTAAAATGTTGGCTGAAACTTGTATATCTGTCCACAGCTCTGTCTACCTTATGCCTTCTGCACAAGAATGTAGGGACAGCACTTTGGCCCAGTTTGGTAATTTGATTAAATCACAACCTACAACACAGGATGATCTCGAGCTTCCATTTAATCATTTTGAGTTGAAGAGAGCTCTTTCTAAGGCGAGACAACCCCTGGTAAAGATGATGTATGTTATAACATGCTATCTCAATTTCTTATGACTTGAAAACAGTCTATTGTAGTCCCAGTGTTAAAACCGGGAAAATCACCTTCTGACCTGTCAAGTTACAGGCCTATTGCATTAACATCAGAGTTGGGAAAGACTATGGAGCGCATTGTAACAGAAAGATTTTTTTTTTTTTTTTTGAAATCCAGAATTTAAGCGGCTTTCGTAAAGGTAGGAATACCATGGACTCTGTATTACGTGACCTCCTTCAGGAGCCCCTATCACGTGATGAGCTCCTGTTACGTCACTTCCCTGGGACTTGAAAACGTTATCTTCATAAAGTTATAAAGCTTATTCCAATTCAAGTCAGGGTTGGAGCTAGACTGGGGATTTAAATTGTCTGTACCAAAGTCAAAGGTGATTTGTTTCTTCAGCCGTCACAAAGTAGTTTCTCTGAAACTATATGGACAAGTGCTTGAGCAAGTGAAGGAAACTAAGTTTTTAGGTGTAATTTTTGATGAAAAACTCACATGTCATCCTCATATTGACAAAGTTCAAAAGTAAATAATTTATTACGTTGTTTATCTGGCCAGGACAGGGGAGGAAGAAGGGAATCACTTGGAAATACTGTAGATACAGTGCCTTGCGACAGTATTCGGCCCCCTTGAACCTTTCAACATTTCGCCACATTTCAGGCTTCAAACATAAAGATATAAAAATAAAATTTTTAGTCAAGAATCAACAACAAGTGGGACACAATCGTGAAGTGGAACGAAATTTATTGGATAATTTCAACTTTTTTAACAAAAAAAAAAACCGAAAAGTGGGGCGTGCAATATAATACTTTGTAGCGCCACCTTTTGCTGCAATTACAGTCGCAAGTTGCTTGGGGTATGTCTCTATCAGTTTTGCACATCGAGAGACTGGAATTCTTTCCCATTCTTCCTTGCAAAACAGTTCGAGCTCAGTGAGGTTGGATGGAGAGCGTTTGTGAACAGCAGTCTTCAGCTCTTTCCACAGATTCTCGATTGGATTCAGGTCTGGACTTTGACTTGGCCATTCTAACACCTGGATACATATATTTGTGAACCATTCCATTGTAGATTTGGCTTTATGTTTTGGATCATTGTCTTGTGGAAGATAAATCCCCGTCCCAGTCTCAGGTCTTTTGCAGACTCCAACAGGTTTTCTTCCAGAATGGTCCTGCATTTGGAGGGACGGCCGGGTCTTGGTAGATTTGCAATCTTCAAATCTTCAATCTTTTCAATATAATTGCTTGCACAGTGCTCCTTGAGATGTTTAAAGCTTGGGAAATCTTTTTATATCCAAATCCGGCTTTAAACTTCTCCACAACAGTATCTCGGACCTGCCTGGTGTGTTCCTTTGTCTTCATGGTTCTCTCTGCGCTTTAAACAGAACCCTGAGACTATCAAAGAGCAGGTGCATTTATACGAAGACTTGATTACACACAGGTGCATTCTATTTATCATCATCAGTCATTTAGGACAACATTGGATCATTCAAAGATCCTCACTGAACTTCTGGAGTGAGTTTGCTCCACTGAAAGTAAAGGGGCCAAATAATATTGCACGCCCCACTTTTCAGTTTTTTATTTGTTAAAAAAGTTTACATTATCCAATAAATTTTGTTCCACTTCACGATTGTGTCCCACTTGTTGTTGATTCATGACAAAAAATTTAAATTTTATATCTTTATGTTTGAAGCCTGAAATGTGGCAAAATGTTGAAAGGTTCAAGGGTGCCGAATACTTTCGCAAGGCACTGTACTGGGCTGTGATGCGTCCTACTCTCGATAATGGGTGTTTAGCTTTTTGACTGCTGCTGAGTCTAGTTTAAAAAAAACTTGATGTGGAACAAGCTAAAGCTCTATGCATCTGCTGCAGAGCTTTTAAGACATCTCCCATCTCCTAGTTGATATTAGTCTCCAACATAAACTCAAAGAGAAAACAAAAGGGCCGCCGCAATTTCTTGTACAAGAAGATTGAACAACATTCTGAGCATTTGTTTGCTTTTACTGATGGATCCAAAGATCCTGTGAGTGGGCATTAAGTAGACCAGACATTCTCTATTGTATATTTTCTGTGAGGCTTTGTTTGCATAGTAGGAATGTTGGAGTGTTGTTTCTTTGGGTTCCTGCGCATTTTGGAGTAGATGGTAATGAAGTGGTCGATATGCTGGCTAAGGATGCTTTGAAATCCCCTTCAGTTATTATAGATGTGGCATTGAGTAAATCAGAAGTCAAACCTATAATGAAAGAGCATGTTAAGAAGGTATGGCAGGAATATTGGGACATCTGTGTTACTGGGCGGCATCTATATGGTATACAGCGGAATGTGGGTCCATATGAATCCCGGGGCGGCACGGTGGCTGAGTGGATAGCACTCTCGCTGCTCAGCAAGAAGGTTTGAACAGGGCGTTCTGTTTGGAGTTTGTAGGTTTCCTCCGGGTACTCCGGTTTCCCCTACCACTAAAAACATGTACAATAGGTCTGGCATGCGCCTCCTGTCAATGACTCTTCTGGCCACCCTGGGAAAGCCATGTTCCAGCTTCTTCTCTGGCAGAAGATATCGCTCTCTGAGATGCAGGACATCTCGTTACGCTAACAGTTTTTATCCACAAGCTGTTATCAGTTTGAACAGAGCACTTTAATGATTTGCACTTGTTTTGAAACTGTTTTAGTCGATTGATCTCACAGTGACATTTGTTTACTGTTTTATTTTTGTCTTTTAATGTTGTTTTATGTCTGTATTTGTCTGTGCACACTGGAGACTTTTTGCTAATGTATTCCAATGTGGTTCTTTTACTGCAAATGGCAAATAAACTGAATCTGAATCTGATCTGTTCTGGCGACCCCGCTTCCGTCCCTGTGTGGAGTGAGAGGACAAATGCTAAAAAAATAATAATTTGTAAACCGCTTTGTGACTCTGGTCTGTGAAAAGCGGTATATACATATAGATGACTTACTTACTTACAGAGGAAGAGAGAGAATTCACACGTTTGAGAATAGGTCACACAAGTCTGAATAGTTCAACATTTAGGATAGGAAAACACTCTACTGGACTCTGATTACGGTCAAGAGCCTGAGAATGTCGAACAAGTGCTGCTTCATTGTGCGCACTATGAGCAAGAGAGAGGTGAATTAACCCAGTGGTGTCAAGAAAATGAACGAACAATTACTTTAGGGAATCTCCTTTGGAGTCCACCTAAAAAAATGATCTACAATCTACATAATATAAAACTAATGGAAAGATTGTAGCCTGAGTTTATCTCCCGGTGATACAGTCCTAATACAGTAGGTGGCAGTAAATACACATTGGTAGTTGGATGCCAATCGCCATTGAACCAAAAGAAGAAGAAGAAGATGACATCACACCACTGTGACTCGTAAACAAACATGGCGGACGCAAAGACTCCTGTCTTTTTTGCAGTATGTAACATTCCTGCTTCTTTTCGTTCCGCTGATCTGAGAAACTACTTTAGCCAGTTCACTGAGAGCGGAGGATTTAGCTGCTTCCACTTCAGACACCGGCCAGAAGTTTTGAAAGACCCAGAGAACAGCGGGACATCGAATGAACAAAGCCCGAGAGAGGAGCGAGGAGAGACGGACATGGACCCGACGGACACGGGAGAAGAGAGGCTTAAGACGGCCACATCCTGCTGCTGTGTTGCGTCTGTCCACGCTGCATACGCTCCCAGGTTTATGAAGATGTATTCTGGAACTCACTGGATAAACTCGAAGGGAAACTGGTTAAAAAGGCGATGTGTTATCAAGAGGATCAAGGTTTCACAGGACAAAGGTAACTCTCATATGTCTGCGTATATCTATTCTATTTCATTTCATTTAAACGGCTCCTTGATGTTATTGTTAAAGCTAAATTTGTACAACCTTTGTGGGTAGTTGCGCTTTTTTATGTATTTATGTAGCTACCTTATCAAGGACAATACAAATGTGAAGAAATGGCTGATAATGGAAATCGTTTGTCAGGGATGAAGCAGACAGAGACGGATCGTGGTGCGCCAAACTCTGGAAGTTTATTTAAGGGTGTATTCAGACCTGAAAAGTCCTTTGCTCCGCTTGCTTGATCCGAATCAAAAGCGTACCAAACTTTTTTTCTTTTGCTCCGGTTCGTATTCAGACTGTCCTTTTTGCAAGTGAACTTTTTTATATAAACATATTGACACGTGTGACGATCGGCGCTCCTATTGGACAGCGAGAGCTCACGGAGGATAGACGCGGAACCGAAGGAAAACATTGAGGGCTCGTATGTGCAACATGTCTGCTGTCTATGTTTGCTCTTTTTAGAGCAAAACCATCTTCAACCGCAGCTCATATGACGCAGGCGAAACACGTTGTTTTAAATATTGGAGAATGCGTGAGGAGAAAGCCGAAGGAGACTGTCTGTCCTGTCCCACACATGGATCTATTATAATAACGGCCCTGTTCAGCATTGTGGATAAACCATGGATCTATAATAACCACGGGACAAACAGACGCTGAGGATCAGGTAGGAACCAAAGAACACAATTCACTACATGATGCGGAATATTGCTCTTTGAGACGTGAGTCAAACAGTGTCAGGCTTTTAATAATGCAAATGGTTTGAAGATGCTGCCATTAACATCAATGTATACTGTGAACAGTTGTAACTCCATAAGCCTGTTGCACAGCGTCTCCTCACTGCTCCAGTCTGCACACGGCTCATTGTTGTTGTGTAGCGTTAGCAGCATAGTTAGCAGCATAGTTAGCATCATAGTTAGCAGCATAGTTAGCATCATAGTTAGCATCATAGTTAGCATCATAGTTAGCAGCATAGTTAGCAGCATAGTTAGCAGCATAGTTAGCCGCTGCATGGCTAATTCCTCAGTTTCTGTCTGCGGTGCTTGTTAAGCCCAAAAAATGCGCACGTATCTTGGAGTTGTGTCGGATCGACACCGGATGTATTCAGACCTGATTCGACTTGGACCACAATTCGTTTGGAAGCGGACCGAGACCACCTCAAAAAGTGGGTCTCGGTTCGGTTCTTTGGTCCGGACCAGGATTCGTTTGTGTGTATTCAGACCTGCATAAAAGCTTCGGATCAGAGTTCCAAACGAATCCTGGTCCGTTTAAAGTGGAGCAAATGTGCAGGTCTGAATACACCCTAAGTTTCTCTCAAGTTCCAGTGGTTTCCTTTGTTTCTTTCTCTCAGACAGAATGGAGTCAGTACACAGTTTATATAGTCATTGTCACGTCACACATCGAAAGACGTACGTGTCACACAGAGACAGTCACATCATAGTCAAAATAATCAGAGTCCTTGTAGAGTCCTGCACGTAGGCCATATTGCTATCTAATACTAACACCCACCCCTTTGATTACATAATCACATGTGATCACTCAATTTGATCAATCAATAAAGTGGAAAAAAAAATCAAAAAAACTTAAAAAAATTATTAAAAAACAAAGAAAATGTATGCATTAAACTCATAATCATCAAATCAATATCAGTGGATTTTATCCTCTATCCTGGGGAAAAATAAACAAAAAAGTAAATAAATAAACAAAAAATAACAAACAAAAATAAAAACAAACAAACACTATTGGACATACAAGAACTCAGCAGATTCAGTCAAAACACAGACAAAAATGAGCTGAGTCTCAATTTAGAAGCTAATTTCACTTTTCTTACTCTATACTTTTATTCTAATACTAATTGTTTACACTTCACTTAATTCGCTGTATTATTATCACTTTTCAATCTTATACTGTGTACTTTCTAATGTATTCACTATAGTTTAAAAGTATTCTAATCTATTTACAAATATGTTTGTATATTTGCTTCTATTGAGCCATATTCTTAAACATACATTTTAATCTAATAAATCTCTCTGTGGTTTAATCTCATTATCAGTGGATTATTGTTAGTGGGATTTTGCTCTATGTCTACTCTACATTCTCAGGAATAAAACTGTGAACACAGTAAGACAAATGGTTAATATGAACATTATTATGGCGGTCAGTTTTCCAAATACATTTGTTGAACCAGGAAGTGCTGTCACTTCCTCCTCTTTGGGATGAATGTATATCAATAATCAAATTATTATTATTATCCTTACAAGAGCTAATCTATTTTAGCAGGTTTGGGGTTGGGGTCAGTTATTCTACAATGGTGTTTGATTCTCTAATCTGTGCTGACGAATCGACAGCTTTTAAACTTCTCAAAGATCTCAATATCTACTTTTTGTTTTTGTGCTATACCCAAATGCATCAAAATGCTTTTAAATGCTTTTGAATCTTTGTTGGTTGTACTCTATCTCATTAACCTAGGCATTAATCTATCTCATTAATCTAACTAAGCTACATTAGTCTAGGCTACACTCATGAACTTTTTGTATTGTCAACATTCACCAATGTTTGAAACAAGTGAATTTGGCAAGTATCTAATAAAACTGTAATTAACTTTATCTACTTTTGAAATAAATGGTGAAATGGTCCCTTTACCATTTGATATTACCACTGGCTAGAAATATTCTCAATTTTATGGTTGATGCATTTATCTAATTCTATTTTTACTCTATTGTGACTCTAAAGCTTGGTTGCAGCTTGAGCCAAGGCATATTTCTAGTTTGTGACTTCTGTCACTTTTAACATCTACTAAAATGCTACAATACCCATACTTTATCATTTTAAAACATTTTAACAGTTGCTCAGTCTCCCAGACTAAAAAGTCAAAGTTTTTGTCTGTCAGATGTCTGAATACTTGTATTGCATTTGTCACAGTTGTGGTTCTGGTTGTAGCAATAGCATCGGCAATAGACAATTTTTCATTGGTTGTTCTGCAAATGACTGTGTCCAATAGATCATCAGATGTCCAGAAGCTAGGGACAAACAATAACAAAAGAAGAATCATGAGTATCTCTCTCATTTAGCACTCATCAATGTATGATTTTAAAAATATAAACATCACTCCCCAGTTTTTTCTCTCAGGTCCTCAGGTCCTCAGGGTCCCCTGAGGGTGAGTCTCAGTCGTCATCAGGTCAGGTCATATTTCGAGAGATGTCATCTTGGACATCATTAGGGTCCAAGCCATGGTTTTGGTCTCTCCAGATTCATTCTGGTCACTCCAGGTACATCAGGTCACTTGGGTTGCTCTTTGCGATGCACTTCTGGTCAATGGTGCAGTGTCACAGTTCCTGTACACAGCTTGTTATGCAGTTAGGCACTGTGTATGGTTAGTCACTTTGATTCTAATCCTAATCAATGTAATTACTTCACACAGCACAAAATCTACTAATCAAAAGGGTCAGGACAGACGTCAATTATGTCCATGACAATATAGAATTCAAATGAACATTTCTGGTCTCAAAAAATACAGATTCAAGTGATAGACAATTAAAAATATTTGTTTACATTGGAGTAAACTGCTTTTTTCTCATGTTCTGCTTTTTCATGTATCTATGTGTATGTGTGAGTGTATGATTGTGTATGTGTGTGTGTGTGTGTGTGTGTATGTGTGTGTGTATATGTAGGGTGTGAATTTTGGGTTTGTGTCTCCAGACTCCTCGAACCACCCGTAGGTCTCAAAGGTCACACTGGCTCGATGTAAACAAGCAAAGTGGGCACACTTCCAGATTGCAAAACAACTCACCCACCACTGCCTACAGAAACACAACCATCTGTCTGTAGTGGGGGGAGGGGCACACGGAGGTAGCTATGTCGTCTTTACGATCTGCGGCTGGTTGGATGGTGTCTACTCTGGGCCACTGTTCTGATCCCTCAGTGTCCAGTCCAGCAGTGACCCTTGTACAGTGTGGCAGAGTCTGAAAAACAATCCTTGAGACGGCCAATTTAAAAAACAACAGATATCAGTATGTGAGTGAGATTGTTTTTCTCTCTAAAGTCTAAACAATTTTGGAGCACTCTTGGCTTTCCCACATGCGGTATATAAAAAAAACCTTTAAACTTTAAAATATGTATTATGTACTTTTGTACTGTGTGTTTAATTATCTATGCGTTCTTGGGTTTCACTTTATGGACTTTCCCTTTTTCACTTGAACATTTATCTCAGCATTTATTCTACTAATTTAAAATAATTACAGCCTTTTTCAAATTAAGTCAATATGAATTGGAGCACATTTCAGATCAGGCTCCTCTGCTGTGTGCATCAGCGGGAGCAGCAAGGTCAGGCGTGTAGTCAAAACAAAAAAGTCACCGCTTGCAATGTGAATTGGGTAGAACTCAATATAATACTTTTACAGCTAATCCTAATTCCCTCTTTCTTTTTAGACGAAGTCTATGATCAATAATCACTTTTAACACATATTCTAATTTAAATGTTTGAAAAACGGCTTTTGTAACTAAAATAAAAAATACATGAAAAAAGTCTCACAAACAGCTATGAAATATATCAGAGATACAATAATGGACTCTAAAAATAAGCAGCAGATTCAAAAAGAAAAGCAAAGCTTTTTTGTACTAATCTTTGGATTTAGAAAAACATAATATTCAAAACTTATTTTTACTAAATGGTGTTTAAAACGTTTAACTGTGTCATAACACAATGTTCAATTGCAAATTTAGCAAATTTAAAAACTTAATAAAAGCCTAAATCCTAAAAGCAGGTTTGTTCTGATGCAGAGCCAGAGTAGCGAAGGAGGGGGCCGTTTCCCCTGACAACGGCAGCAAGATAGAGCGGCGCGCACACACACAGGCAGAAAGTAGTGTTTTAGAAAAAATGCAAAAACAGAAAGAAGAAGAACTTTCAAGATTACTTTGTTAAGCGAATATAACTGATGTTGTTCTTTATACTTTTGTCATCCAAGTCTAGAAGTGATCACTTTCCACAAAAGGCACTCTTGTCTTTAACGTTTCCTTCTATTTTATCGAGGTAGCAAACTAATTTAAACTCAAAATCTCTTTCTAAAAAACAAAAACCACTGTTGGATACAGCCCTCTCATAGCTCAACTGTAGATAAAACTCGGCAAAAAATGTAAATAACTCACAAAAGTTCTCATAGCTCAACTTTAGATAAAACTCTGCATTCTCCGGTGAACTCTGTTCACGCCAAAAAACAAAAACTCCCTTTTTCTGTATGTAATTTAAACCGTGATCACTGAAATATTGTTGCTTCTTTACTTTTGTCATTTATCAAGCCTGGAATTGGTTAATTACAAAACTTTTTGTGACAAAAGGCCTCCTTAACACGTTTCCCTTTTTATTGCTTTTACTTTTACACCATGGTTTCACTAAGGATCCAACACTTTTCTCTGGCTAGCAAGGGGCCTCTACCCCGGTAATTACTCAAAAAACGGGCCTCTACCCTGTAATTACTCTTTTTCTCTTCTCAAGGGGCCTCTACCCCGGTAATTACTCAAAAAAGGGCCTCTACCCTGTAATTACTCTTTTTCTCTTCTCAAGGGGCCTCTACCCCATCAGGTAACTAGGGATGTAAAAAACTATGAATTTTCATGACCGACCACCGAGCCTCATTAACCGGTTGAAACCGGTTAACCGCGTAGTTTAAAATAGTCCACGTTCTTTGAAATAACAGCCATTTCGAGCCGCGTACTTTTCATAAGTGCAGCTCTGCGTTCTACTGGATCAGAGTTGAGACAGCGGCGCCCAAACCCGCAACAGCTCCGGCACCTTTGCGCACAGAGAACTGCTTTTTTAATCTTCCCATTCTGCTGTGCTGCGGGTTAATACCACAACTTTCTAGCAGCAAACGACGGCTCGTTCACATGGTCAGAGCAGCGAGTGACGAGCCGCGTCTCACAGGTCTTCACAAAAGTTTAAATACATTAAATACATTCTGAGGTTTTGAATAGCCTCAGAATTTGACTTTTAAATGTACATGAGAGCTGAGGACTCTCCATGTCAATGCGCCATTTTGAAAAACATTGGTTGATAAGGGACAAAAAGGATGCGAGAATCGCGTTTTCGTTTCACTGGTGCTACTAATATCACTGTGCCCTCACAAGTTTGAAGTCCTCATGGAGGACCACATTTATATAAAAGAACAACCCCTACAAGAATGTTTTAGAAAAAGAACACAACAGACTCAAATGTGATCAACACGTAATTTTAGTAATTACGTAAAACTAATTAGAGCCTCTGTGCAGCGTGCGGGTGCCTCTTCAGAATGCGGTCTTGTTTACATGTCCGCCTCCATGCTTCTGTGTCAAGTGACCAAGACAAATAGAGAGTTCCGGTCATTTATCAAACTAAAGGATTCTTTCCTTCGCTGTGCATCAAAGGCTTCCACAGTACCCTGGACTGCAACATATGATCTCAATGCTAGATAGGAGTAAAATCTACACAATGTACCTTTTAAAAGTGAGAAATTTCTTTTATAAATGAATATTTCAGGTAAAACTAGTTCTGATATAGATCAAATTAATTTTGTAACTGCTTAAAATATTGTCAGATCAGAGCTAATTTATTTGCCATTTGTAGTTAAAAACCACATTGAAATTCTTCAAGGTCTATTTTAATTTTCAGATGAAGGCACGTTTCCATACAAGACCAAATCGGAGCATCACCGTCACGTGTCTGAGCTTTTCACAGAGATGGACCTCAGGACTCTGTCGGAGCTGAACCCGCCCGCACTGATGCCCAACGGGAATGTGGGCACTCCAGTGACCGTGTTCCTTCAGCTGATCCAGTCCTGTCGCCTCCCTCCACGACTCATCAAGAAGCTCGGCCTGGTTTTCCCCAAGACCAGCTCCAACCGTCGCTACGGAAACGTACCATTTCTCTATCACAACACGAGAACTGTGGCAGCGGTGGATGAGACTGTGATGACCGCAGCGGGACACGAGATTGCAGGGCCTGGGGGCTACACTCCTCCAGCCCTGAAGAGAGGAGGAAAGGTTAATGAGGAGAGTGGACCATCTGAAACCCCAAACAATCCAGAGAAGGAAGAAGAGGCACAGTCCGACGCAGATGACGTAAGTTTAGAGCCGCAAGACTAATCATAATTTAAATGGTAATATGCAGGGGTCACTCTAGCAATTTAGTTGCACTCAGGCTGCACAATGTTGGCAAAAATATTAATCGTGATATTTCTGATCCACATTGCAATGCAATTTTTTATATCAAGGAAGGGAGATCCAAAAGAGCCTTATGAAGCCATTACATTTCACAATTCCCACACATTTCAGACAATGTTTGGAGTTCTAGCCTATAGCACAACCATTTTTGTTGTAGAATAAAAAGATAAATTGCGAAAATGTAAAATTTATATGAACGCTTCAATTAAGTAGCTTCAATGTGGTAGGATGATGACTGGTGCGAGGAGTGGGAGCGGCACGAAGCCTTGCACGAGGACGTCACAGCTCAGGACAGGACCAAAGAGCGTCTGTTTGAGGAGGAGATTGAGCTGAAGTGGGAGAAGGGAGGCTCTGGGCTCGTCTTCTATACTGATGCGCAGTACTGGCAAGAGGAAGACGGAGGTTTGTTCTAAAGCACATGCACAATCCACACTCTTCACATTCACAAGCCACACCATTCAAATCAAATCCACACGTTTACATACAATCTACATATAACGTTCACTGCAATAACCTTAACCAAATACTGTTTATTGAATGGATGTTTGTTTATAGATTTTGACGAGCAGACAGCCGACGACTGGGACGTGGACATGAGTGTTTACTATGACAAAGGTATTTCTGTCCCAAATGTTAAAGGCTTTCCCACTGTGTCTCATTCTGCGCATGACACATGACTTTTGTTTCATTCAGACGGAGGAGATATGGATTCGCGGGACTTTGTGCAAATGAGATTTGAACAGAGACGCAGGGATGGACTTGAAGACGCAGCTGATGAGGGTCAAGCTATTGGGAAATTTGAAAAGTTCACAAAGGTAAAAGAACTTTCTATTCTATGTTCAAGCTCTGGCCACATGCTATGACTTATTTGAAAAATGAGGCTTCAAACTTTCAGTGGGTAAAGTTGTACATGCTAGGGATGCACCAATATTGATTTGGGTATTGGGTTGATACCATACGCTTGTACTCGTACTCATACTCGGAACCAATAAGTGTACATAAGCGGCATGACAGCAGACAGTTGTGCGGCACGTGTTGCCATGGTGATCTACCAAAATTGGCAGCAAGAAAGCAAGCTAGCGTTCTAGCGGCAAGCGGATTTGCGGCAGACGGGCAGCCTTATGGCAGTTTTTAAAAGTAAACAACCAGCAATTTGATCAAAACTCTGATTTTGACAACTTTGCTCGCACCGGAGCTATTTTTTTGTTCTTTGTATCATTTGTATGAGTGGAATATGACAGTGGCTCTTATTGTTTACTGTTAAAACATTTGCTAAAGTATTTTCTTATTGTTGAAATGAGAAAAATACATTTTAGATTTCAGTTGTATTAGTTTTATGAATTCCCTGTGCAGTACTCGTATTGGTATATGGTATCTGCAAGTACTCAAATTAAGGTACTCATACTCATAATAATGATTCTGAATCTATTTAAAATGAGAAGAAACAAAATGGAAAGTAGGTGTATTTAGTTCAATTCCAATTTAGTTCAGAAATTGCATCTGGACCGAGAGACAGGGAATACAATTACAATACAATTTATTCTTGTATAGCCCTAGGTCACAACAGAAGTCATCTCAGAGGACTTAACAAAACCATTGAAATCACCAACACAGATCAGAGAATCAACAGTTAAAACACATGAAAAATATAAAGCACACACAGAAGAAAATGTCCATACATGTTGTAGAATGCTAAAGTGTCCTGATCATCACCAATCCTTTCTGTTGGACACTGTCCAACAAGACCCTCCTGCATCGACAAGGAACAACTCTTAAAAAACCCAGTGGAAAAAAGTGAGGAACCTTGGGGAGAACTAGGGAAACCCTAGATTATTCTAATTATTCTTATGCCTGTCACAATGTAATATCTCATGAGACTAAAACGGACACTAAAGCTGTAGTCATCTTTAGTGATTCATTCAGTACAAAAATATGTGTGCCGTAACATAGGCGTTCTAAAGTTTTCCTTCTCAGGGTTTCGGGCGCAGGCTGATGGAGAGGCAGGGCTGGAGGGATGGCCATGGCCTGGGCAGCAGTCACATTGGCATCTCTGAAGCTTTAGAGAACGATGGGCAGCATCCAAACTGCAAACGAGGTTTTGGGTAAGAAGACATGTTATTATGAGCCAAAATTCATAAAAAGCAAAACTGCTTTTGCGGTTACTAAATTTTTCCTACTTTAAAGTGCCAAAAGTCTGGCGTTTTTATTGATGATCAAATATGACAGGACAAGTCCTCTGTGGCAGTCCCTCCAAGGATAAATCTTTGTCTCCAGTTTCAACTGTGGATCAAACAGTGTTTTCCCCTTACCTAATTTACTATATCCAAATATTCAGAACAACCAGTGCACAAACAAAGTCGCTCTAATCCTGTGAGGCATCGTTTCACTCTATAATTATTAAGTAATTGAGCATGAAAGCATTCTGTGTATTCCAAAAACAAAACTCAGAACAGACCACAAATTGGGCTGTGTAACAGAAGGTTACATAAAATACATTGTTACGCTGGTATTGTGGTGGCACACAATACTTTTCCTTCCCTCCTTCCTAGAATTACACATTATGATTACAGGGACATATGTGGCTGTAATATGTGGCTGTTGTTTACGTGCAGATACCATGGGGAGAAATTGCTTTTACATCCCAGAAAAAAGTCAAAGCCCCAACACCTCATCTCCACAAAGTATGACCCACCGAAGGACAAGGACGCAGGAGACTCGTTATTACGGCGACAGGCTCCGACCAGCATGAAGTACAGAGGCTGGACACCAGGGGGCAGCATAGGACCCAAGAGATGAGACTATAATCAGAAACGGACACACGTTTTAATACTTTTACAAATGCATTAAAACGTTTCATACATTGCATTTCCACCATAGACTTTTACAATTGCCTTTTATTAAATTCTATTTTTTTCTAACCACGGGGCATTTATTTTTTTATATTTACATGTTCGAACAGGACTTTTGACATGTTTGCTCTATATTCATTTTACATGGAAAGTATAATTTCAATTTGAAAAATAGATATTCTATTATATGATTATGTATTTAAAAATATCAACTATAAGTGAGTATAGTGAGTATAGTAAGTGACTTTTATTTCAGTTTGTCCATTTTTATCATATAACTTGTACTGGTTGTAAAGGATGTCATTACCATTTGTGTTAACAAACTAGAACAGAGAGAAAAATATGTTTAAAAATTAAAGGACACATTAATTTTTGATATAGTGGAGTGAATGAATAAAAAAATATAATAATGATAAACAATAACAATCGAATGAAATGTTCTCCACAACCTGAGCCTTCATCTGTGGAAACTATTCGTATTTCAAACTGAGTCGTTCAACCAGAAATATAACAATAATAATAATCAAACCTTTTCCTGACGGTTTTCATTTTAACAAGCGCTGGAATGACTCCCTTTTTAAGTGTTCCACTATCTATAACTATTGCTATAATAACGTAATAAGAGTATTGCAAATCGATAGTTGCACAGCAACTGGAGCTACAATCGTGATGGTCGCCACTGGATCATATCCAGAATCGGGACGGAAACAGAACTTAACCAGCCATTCCCATAGAATAACCCCAAACCAACCTTAACCCTAACCCATCTTACTCAGACACTTAAAACTTAACCAGTCACCACTAAAGGACATATTAGTCTAAAACTAATTCGAAAGTAGGATTGTTACTTTGCTTCAGTCCCAATTCCGTATATGATCTAGTTTTTTTTTTTTATAGCAATGCTTACAGGCTCACATATCTCCAATATGTTTTACAATTAGAGCATACAAATGGTATGTACTTAGTACATTCTAGTATATAACAAAACAAAAAAAAATACAAAGAGCCAACGTCAACAACGTACAGTGGGGTCGATAGCCATTTCGATCATATCGTTATAAAGCCATATAGCTTTCTTAGACTTGCAAAAATTTAAAGAGTCCTTCAAACTACATAACTCTTTAAGAGATACGAAAAATAAAGGTTTAGTACTGCCAAATTTGCATTTGTGTATGACAAATTTTGCTAATAAAATAAAATTATAGATTGTAATATGATTTTTCTTGTGTTCCAATATAGCTCCGTATTTTCTATCAGTGCATAATAAGGACAAAAACTATCCCAAAACATTTTAGAATAAAAAGTAAACAATAAGTGTTCCTGGGTGGTCCGTGTACTTTTGCGTTGCATTTTCTAATTTTGAAGGGAAAATCGAAAAAAGGCTATTTTGCATTTTCAGGCACACAGCAATATACAAAAATGACCATTTTGGTTTTTTCATTGCTTATAAGACATATATGTATATTATAATAACCGGATTTGCAATAATTAACCTTTTTTTATTATGTATTTAATACATTTCGGCGTCAATCGATTACCCGGAAGTGAAACAAGTTTGTTTACTTCAGCCCTATTCGCTCCTGTATTTGTCCAAACACAGACGTTTTGTGAGTATGTGGTTCACGAGTAGTCCATACAAACTATTATTAAACATTACAGACAGTACGGGCCAGAAAACTGTAGAGCAGTAAAATGTTTGTCCTCATGGTCTCTGTGGCTGCTGTGGTCAGACGCGGCTCTCTGAACTGCGTGAAGCGGGGAGATGTGAGATGTCAGTAAAGATAGTATTTTACAGATATTGCTTATCCCGTCTGAATGCACTGCAAAATCTCAGACGTTCTCCGTGATTATCACAAATTACTAGAGTTCCACAGTTAACGGTCGGCACTAGATCATATACGCATACGGAATCGGGACGAAACTGGAAGTAACAATCATTTTTTCAAATTTGTTTTTTAACTAAAAAGTCCGTAAGTGGTAACTGGTTAAGTTTTAGGCGTGCGAATAGCATGCGAATAGACAAACTTGTTTCACTTCCGGGTAATCGATTGTCGCCGAAATGTATTAAATACATAATAAACATTTTTAATAATTGCATTTTCTAGTTCCCAAATCCGGTTATTATAATATATGTGTCTTATAAGCAATGAAAAATAAACCAAAATTGTCATTTTTGTATATTGCTGTGTGCCTGAAAATGTAAAATAGCCTTTTTTCGATTTTCCATTTCCCTTCAAAAATAGAAAATGTATTGATCGCAAAAGTACACGGACCCTGGCTTTCAATATTATTATTATTATTATTTGGCCTTTGAGCCAGAGTGTCGTGGGTTCAAGCCCGACCTTCACCATCGACTCCCACTGTCTGTTGTCGTTGTGTCCTTGGCAAGACACTTAACCTCTGGGAACACCAGCCACAGTGGGGCGGCTGTAAAGTGCCAAAGTGCCGTTGTGTCCTTAGGCATTGCCTAAAATGAGTTGGTGGAGGTCGGAGGGGCCGATTGCACATACTGGTTGCCTCGCTTCTGTCAGTGTGCCCCAGGGCAGCTGTGGCTACAATTGTAGTTTATCACCACCGTGTATGGAGTGAATGAATAATGACATGTAAAGCGTCTTTGAGTGTCCAGAAAAGCGCTATATAAAACCGATGCATTATTATTATTTGTATTATTATTATTACTTCTATAGCTTTCTGTGGAACTGGAAATTTAACATAATCACATCTATTGGATTTAATATCTTGACTCCTACATTGTTGTACCAATTCTTATATGATATCTATCTATTATTATATAGATCGATGGTGCCGACCATAGGCCCCGTCCCAATACTCGCACTTCCACCCTCGCGCCCCTCATGCGCACTCTGGCGAAGGATATTGCCCATAATTCTTTGCGGTACACACCAAAACGTCGGGAAAATGCAAATTTTGAAATATATATGCAGTATGTGTGTAAATAAGTTTTGCTATGTTACTTGGAAAGAAGCATAAACGTCTGATGAAGAATTACGGACATTGTGTTTTAACAATTTAATACATTTTAAAGAAAGCGTTTATATAACATTCAATTTAAACTTTACACTTAGTACAATAATCTTAGAATGTATAAAAACTGACCAGATAGTTAGTTACCCACATTTAACTTAAAATTATACAGCTATCTCTAATTAAAAACAACTTATATACATGTATTTTAACGTGTGTGAAGCAATTCGATTTGTTTCCCAAAGGGTCAGACAAAATTACCTTTAATGTTTATAAAGTTTAGGTCTGAAAATGACCATCTCTTGACGAGTCGATGACGTAACCTGCACTCAGTGTGCACTGTCCCAATTCTGCCTTTTTTGCACACTTGTAACCTGCGCACTCCAACCCTGGTGTGCACTTCGAACAAATGCACACTTCGTAGAAGTGTGTAGGGTGCAGTGTGGGTATTGGGACGGGGCCATAGACTGCCGACCCGACCCTTATACATTTCCGGTTGGTGTTGACTTGGAAGTGAATCACTTTACCGATTGAACTAGAGGAGCGTTTTCATGGAAAATGGACCTCACAGTGAATTACGAATATGTTGCGTAAATAATACATAATGGGTTTTAAATTGTACAAACTTCATTAAATATTTTTACATTAAATTCGCGAACGAAAAAACTTTAAATATCACATGAAGTAGAGAAGTCTTCTGGAACTGAATTGTTTTATCACACAGTTTTACATAATATACAACACAAATAATTCACGCACCAAATGTATTACATAATTAATATGACCAAATTTATGTGAAAATCATATTATCTCGACTGTGTATTGTGAAAACTTAAGTAAGTAATAGTCACAGACCAAATTTGTTGTACACGTAATTCCCATACACTCCACTCACGCTGATGAGAGAAGAGAGACGCCAAACAGACCGACGCTTCGAAGCTTCCAACCATCATCTTCCATTCACTCACTCATTACTAACTTTGATATACATATTTAAAAATATATCTAACATCTATGATCATAACGGTTAGGCTCCTTCTGAAACCGCAAGATGGCCGTCACTAAACCCGCGCACTCTAGCTCCTATTGCCGTAAACTAGCTTTGGCTGTAGTCATGATGTGAACCTGTAAACCACGCGTTTCTACGAAAATATTAAGCAGTTTCTCTGTTTCTGTTCAAACGTTGACCTATTCAACTTGGGATAAAAGAATAGAGCGGAAACAGGCATCCAGCCCGCGTAAGTACACTTTTTTAATTTGGTCTAAATATAAGACGATATTGCTCGTCATTGTCAGTAATGTTGAAATTGTTCCCTTCATGTGTTATTATTAGGCTTTTTTAGGCAACAGTCCACTGGATCTACTTGGCTGTAACATATTGAGTCAATAACCAGCCAACAGTTGACTATTGTATATCGAAGGAAAATACGATATAAAAATACATTTAATTGCACTTTTCAAACTTATTTAGAATACTAATTATACTGACGCAGGACTAGTTTAGAATACCGAACTAAAACTGCAAAAGCGCATTCAAATGTGAATCCTTATGAATCAATCCTTTTTTCTTTTTTTTTTATCCGAAAATTAACCAAAGTTCTACAAGCCTACAAATTTGACTCTGTTGCACCAGTTCAAACGGGGAACTGGGCCAGGTTTCCAGCTTGTGGACTGATCCCCAAAAGTTTAAACCCAGGTTGGGAAACGCATATTCTTTTTTTAATTTCTAACGTACACATAGAAAAATTAGTAACACTACTTGGGACAAGTATACCAAAACAAATACAACATTTTGGCCAGTTGAAAGGACATAAGAATAATATGGCAGGTTTGTGAATCTAATTACTATCAAATCATTTGGACATTTCTTTAAATAATTGCTTCTTTCTCATAGAGTTGTACTGGCACCTGCGCAAAATACTGAAATACAATTCTTTTTTTTAAATTTATTTTTATTAAATATGGTGGAAATGACACTTATTTACAAAACAGCTTACAGACAGATAATATAGGTACAGTTTCTAGTACAGTATTGTTGTATGGTCCATGTAAGACTACGTAAAACATACACAATAGTAATACAGTAATCGTCCACTTGACAAATAAGTTCGAACTAAAGACCATTTATCTGTATATATGTCAGTTTCAATCTGCAGTCGGGCCGTTACTTGTTCCATTTGATATATATCCCATAACCTGCTTTTTCTCTCAGTGATAGTGGGGGGCTGCGGTCTGAGCCAGGAGACTTTTATTACTGTCTTTGCGATCAGAAGCAGAATCTTCTGTAGATAAAATTAAAATTTTGATGTGATTTCTTTTTAAATATTCCCAATAATGTTGGCTCCAATGTGATTTTGATGTCCAGACATTTTTCAATTTCACATTCAATCAAGTCTTGATTTGGTATGTTATATATTTGGAGCTGCTGAAAAGACATTCTCCCATTTTCAGACATCAGAGGCAACATGATTAAGGCTGCTTTCACACCGCCAATGCTGGAACGCTGAAGCCTCGCGCACCAGACGCACATTTTCTAGTTTTCAGACGTTGGGGACTTCACACCAGAAGTCCTGGCCAGCGGTGGATCGCACTGGAAGTGACGGATGTAGCAGGCGGACTTTGATGCTCACGGTGTTAAGCTAGTGGGTTTTTGTGTAGCAGACTACGCGTAGCAGACTACGCAAGGGCCTTGCGGTGATCCTTGCATTGCGCAAGTGACGTCACGTCACCACCGTAAGCTCCGCGCGCCTATACACTAGGCTTTAGAGCACAAAGGGGCAACTCGCTTTTAATGTGCGGATCACTATACCGCGGTGAATAACTTGAGAAATTGTTTTTCACCGCTGACCCTTCTTTCGTGAAGGGTCCCGGGTTTTCTATGAAGTAAGAATAAAGGTCTCGCAGCAGATTGGTGCCAAGACAGAGGCAAGTCTGATCAATGGTCCCAGGTCTCATATGGGCTTAGAATATTATCAGTTCAATCTCATATACTTATTGTTAGCTTATCTTTATATCTTCTCTAATCTTCTTGCGTTAAAGTGCTTATAGATGGTGCATTTTGCCCACTAAGTCTTTTAAAAGTACTCGTCACATCCATGCTTCAGTATGTGCCGCTCTGTCTTCTTGCCACCCAGCGAGTGGTGCATGCGCCTGCGGATGTAAACCAAGATCCTCTTATTGCAATGAACAGACTACAGTCAAAATCCTAATAATGCAGACAGATAAAGTAGGAATGAAGAGAAGATAGTACTCAAGTTACCATACTGATCGCAGCAAACGGACTCCCTCCGCAGCTTGACTGACAATCTAAGATGTTTAGCCTTCCCTGAGTCTTACCTTCCTAACTATGCCACACTGAAGAGGACTGTTTTAAGCCTAGCCTTGAATGTAGAGACTGTTTGACTGAAGGAGACAGCAGCAGCCACGTCTAGGCAAGCCCATTTAGGTGAGTTTGGACTGGGTCCCGTACAAGCAGACTCCAAAACCAGACAAACAACCAACCTAACCATATGCTAGTTTGAAGAAAAGTGTTTTAAGCCTGGCCTTGAATGTGGAGACCGTATCTGCTTCCTTAAAATGGATGGGAAGCTGATTCCACAGTAAAGCCTAGTGTATACTTGCGCAGCGTGGCTTACGTTAGCGGTTGCGGTGGACCTACGTAAGCACAATTGATGTTATACTGGCGCGTTCCCCTTACGGAGTTTTGAGGAGAATGTTGTAATCCCACAACAAACCACATGAGGGCGATCACACAGGAGCGGTCCCATTTACGCTGCAACTTTGTCCTCTTCAGAACAACAATAGCAAACAAAGAAGTTTGAGCTCATTACACGTGTTTCCACTGTAGGTGTATGTGATAGTTTTATGGATTCATTATTTTGTTAAGTAATTTCAACTGTGATGCTGTGAATAAAGACACAGTTCTTGTTGGAAACATAGTTATTATTAAATAGTTTTCAGCACAAACAGCAAAACAATAATAGTGGTAAATATCTGAGACAAACATGAACGATTCACGAGTGCAGGAGGAAAGCAACAAACGCAGCTACGATTCAAACAAGACAGGAACAGTGCAAAACAAACGACTGCATAAGTTATATATATATATGTTAGATAGTCCACAGTCTCCTGTATATCAGGCTCTGAGCCCAAACTGCTTTTCCTTCGAAGCACAAAACTCTCTGCTCCATAGTGCCTCGTCCACTGTCCCTGCTGCAGCCGCTTCATGCTTCCTTCCAATACACACACACGGACCAATCACTGCGGTCTTGCGGTGACCAACGCAAGTGACGTCACGTCACCTCCGTAAGCTCCGCGCCGCGCGAGTATAAACTAGGCTTAAGGGAGCTTGGTAGCTTACAAAGCTTAATGTCAATGCCTGGTACCTGTAAGGATCTTTGCTGCTGTAGTTTGAACGAGCTGGAAGCTCTTCAAAGAGGTTTAAGGGCACGCTGCTAGCAAAGCGTTAAAGTAGTCAAGCCTTGAGGTGACAAAAGCGTGGATCAGTTTTTTTCGGCGTCACTTATAGCAAGGGTATTCCTGATTTTAGCAATGTTCGGCAAGTGGAAATACGCCGTTTTTGTTGCTTGGTTTATATAAGCCAGGGGTGCTCAATACGTCGATCGCGATCTACCAGTCGATCGCAAAGGTAGTATTGGTAGATCGCATTAAATAAATAAAAAAATTACACATTCTAAACGAATATATACAAAAAACTCCGGGCAAAGTGGAGATTTTTGAAAACTCCGTTAATGCATTTGTGTGTAGTCAGAGATAACCGGAGTTTTGCGTTCTCGCACGCCACAGTACCCCCCTAAATTCCTCTGATCACTGAAGCATGGATCATACGACCTTAAAAACTGTTTGCTGTGAGATGCTCGCAGCAGCGAACATCCTCCACATCAGAGAGCAGCAAAGTGATCGCAGGGACTCACGCTCGAAAACAACCAAACCAGGACTAAACCAGGACTAAACCAGGACTAAACCAGGGCTGAGCACGGGGTTCAGTGCTTGTCTTTACTCTGAGTGTCTTCTATGACTGTAAAAGTGCCGTTACCGGCGTCTGCATCAAAGCTCCGCCCACTTCTGTGTTTTTCCCCAACGCAGGACAGGACGTAAGAGACGCACATGTTTGGAATGTTACGAATGTGATTGATAACACAGATGTGTGGATGCAAATTATTTTATAAACTGAGGAGGGGAAATATTTGGATTTAAAAAAAACAGGCATGGCACATGGACATGGCACCACAGTCAAATGACATCTGTGTTTTACTCAGTAATGTTTTACTGACACTTAGGTGACTGCACATGCGCAAACAACCGCGCTCAGTGCAGGAAAGCTAAACCACGACAAACTTGTCAGCGAATTACCACCAATTTTCCGGACTATGCATCCCTGGCCGATTCAATTCACTGCAAGTCATCAGAGTAAACTCGGGTAATGACTAAAAATGTACATAGGTAATTGTGTTGTGTTGTGCTATATTGGCTCATGCGGTTTTGCATGTACATAAACATACATTGTAGATATAAAGAATATTTTTTGAAATATATGATTTGCATTTTTGTAGTAGGTAGATCATTTTGACTTGATCCTTTTATAAGTAGCTCGCATGCTGAAAAAGTGTGAGCACCCCTGATATAAGCCTTGAAGGAGAGTTCGTCGTCAAACTCTCCAAGACTCCAAACAACTCGACGTTGTCGAGAGTGATTGGGAGTCACGCTGAATCTTTTGACCGATTAGGATCACTTCTGTCTTCTCCGGGTTAAGAAGTAGAAAGTTAAGAGTCATCCACACATACATGTGTATATTGAAGTCCCCAGTTATAGGTCTATGTTTTCACATTCCAAAACTAGATTGGGAAATCTCTTGAGTTTATCTTGTATAAAGGTGTCAGTAGAGAAAGCTAGTGATTTGCTAATTAGATTAGCCACACGTCTTCTCTTCCCAAATGATGAACTGTTTACCCATTCTCTTTTGAGTTTTTTATGTTCTACATCATTCAAATGGGTTTTCTTGTAATAGGGCAATAGAACATTGCATCTTTTTAAATTGACTCAATATATTGTTCCTCTTTATGGTATGATTCAAGCCATGGACATTTTAGGATTTTTAGACTCCTTTCGCATTTTCCTAAATACAGTATTATATATACATTTTTGTGTTTCAGAAAACGTACCTTTTACATCAATTAGAACATAGATTATGAACAATATAAACAAAATTTGAACAGTCAAAATGAGCTTTCTCAAAATTGGTCGTGGAGACAAAGGGGTGTGACCAGAGTCCTTCGTCTGGTACACACAGTGGTGTAGTGGCAACAGTTGTATGGTGCTTTTCCAAAGTTCCGGCACAGCACGTTTTATTTGCATTTCCTCTAGGGTTGGGGTTGGGATTAGGGTACTTTCAGTACCTCCTCGACCGTGGTTCTAAGCGTGCCAAAGCTACACTATAACGTGACGTCAGCCTTACACTGATTGGATAATCAGTGTAAGGTTGGAGTGTCGTCACTGGAAGCGTCATAAGTGCAACATCATGAGTGCGATTTTTTAAAAACTGCTGCTCTGCGACAACAAAGGAATCACACAGAAAGCCCCAAAAGTCAACGCCTTGGTCGGTCGTCGAGGTCCACACGTTAGTCTCTTTAGTGGCCTTAGAAAGAATTCAAAGGGAGCTTGACGGCTCAACACTGGACGAAAAGGTCTTCAGGGAGATCGCCCAGCTCTTGGTTTGTGACTTGTGGTTTGTAGTTATCGTGAAAATCATTGGTTACGTGTCCCGTTGGCGCAAAGCTCTCACTGAAATATATTTACTCGTGTAAAGATTTGATTGTTGTCTGTTATATACATTCACAGTGAGCTAGCTACTTATAGCTATCAATAGCAAGCCAAGCTTGCTATTGGGGCGGTGCCAATGGAGTGGCAGACCGGGGTGGTGGTCCCTCTCTACAAGAAGGGGGACCGGAGGGTGTGTTCCAATTATCGTGGGATCACACTCCTCAGCCTCCCCGGTAAGGTCTACTCCAAGGTACTGGAGAGGAGGCTACGTCCGATGGTCGAATCTCGGATTCAGGAGGAGCAGTGTGGTTTTCGTCCCGGTCGCGGAACACTGGACCAGCTCTATACTCTCCATCGGATACTCGAGGGTTCATGGGAGTTCGCCCAACCTGTCCACATGTGCTTTGTGGATTTGGAGAAGGCGTTCGACCGTGTTCTTTGAGGGGTCCTCCGGGAGTACGGGGTCCGGGGTCCTCTGCTGAGGGCCGTCCGGTCCCTGTATGACCGGAGTCAGAGCTGTGTTCGCATTGCCGGCAGTAAGTCAGACCTGTTCCCGGTGCATGTTGGCCTCCGCCAAGGCTGCCCTTTGTCACCGGTTCTGTTCACTGTATTTATGGACAGAATTTCTAGGCGCAGCCGGGGGCCGGAGGGGGTCCGGTTCGGGAACCACAGGATTTCATCTCTACTTTTTGCGGATGATGTCGTCCTGCTGGCTCCAACGAACCAGGACCTGCAGCATGCACTGGGACGGTTTGCAGCCGAGTGCGAAGCGGCTGGGATGAGAATCAGCACCTCCAAATCCGAGGCCATGGTGCTCGACCGGAAAAAGGTGCCTTGCCCTCTCCAGGTGGGTGGAGAGGTCCTTCCTCAAGTGGAGGAGTTCAAGTATCTCGGGGTCTTGTTCACGAGTGAGGGAAGGATGGAGCGTGAGATTGACAGGCGGATCGGTGCAGCGTGCGCAGTGATGCGGTCTCTGTATCGGACCGTTGTGGTAAAGAGGGAGCTGAGCCGAAAGGCGAAGCTCTCGATTTACCGGTCAATCTTCGTTCCCTCCCTCACCTATGGTCATTAGCTTTGGGTAATGACCGAAAGAACGAGATCGCGGATACAAGCGGTCGAAATGAGCTTCCTCCGCAGAGTGGCTGGGCGCTCCCTTAGAGATAGGGTGAGGAGCTCGGTCACACGGGAGGAGCTCGGAGTAGAGCCGCTGCTTCTCCACGTCGAGAGGAACCAGTTGAGGTGGCTCGGCATCTGTTCAGGATGCCTCCTGGACGCCTTCCTGGGGAGGTGTTCCGGGCACTCCTCCCACCGGGAGTGTGTGTGATGTTCGTGGCTTGCGTGATCTTGCCGTGTGGCTACGCACCACACACTGCACGACCAAAGTGGTTAGACGCAGGATTTTTAATCTCCCCGTGTGGGGTCTAACACGGAGAAAAATCGGCCGACAATTTTAAAATTGTCTCGTGTGAACCAGGCTTTAGTCACTCACCCTCTCCTTAATGTCAGTCATTTGCTGTTCGTGTTTGTTCGTTCAAAATTTGGTCGCTGTTTCACCTCTCATGACGTCAACCGGAAGTCAAAATACAATTCTACAACATAGCACAACTTATTGTGACCACTGAAAGTACAACTAAGTTTTGATTGCGAATTGTCTGGCTTCTTACTTCTACTCATAAAATGTACCATTTCTACTCTGCAGGGCTCAAAAATCGGCTGGTAGATCCCAAGGCTTCAGCCACCATGTCCACTCAGCAAGGCTCCAAACCCTGTGTTTGCTTTGGCCAAGTCGTCATCGGACCTCCGGGCTCTGGGAAAACCACGTACTGTCAGGGCGTGCAGCAGTTCCTGACCGGCCTGGGACGGAAGGTAGTGGTGGTGAACTTGGATCCAGCTAACAGCCGCCTTCCATACAACTGTGCAGTGGACGTGTTAGAGCTGGTCACTCTGGACGACGTGATGGAAGGTTTGAAGCTGGGGCCCAACGGTGGCCTCTTGTACTGTATGGAGTATTTGCGGGCCAATCTGGACTGGCTGAAGACTAAATTGGACACATACAATGACTGCTACTTTCTTTTCGACTGCCCGGGACAAGTGGAGCTGTACACTCACCAGAGCTCTGTGAAGGATGTGTTTGCACAGCTCGCCAAGTGGCACTTCAGGGTATGAAGCGGACTTGGGTTGGACTTTCTGCTCATTTATACAGGAGGCATTACAGCACATAAGTGTAACATTTTTCCTTTTTAACCTATGATGATATTGACACTACTAATGTTATATATGTAAATTATAATTGATTTCTAATTTTGCACACACAGTAATGCATCTCAAAACAAATGGGAAACATGATTTTTCTAGCGGTCCTTGGCTCTAGATCACCTCCACAGACACACAGCACTTGTAAAACATTAGGAGAAGGGCTGGCAGGTTTCACAATGATTCTGCACATCATTTTTTTATCCTTAAAGTCTAACGACTGGCCCCACCGGTTCACAGAGACCATTAGGAGAAACGCATACATGTGATTTTTGTTGCTCTACATCGGTTCTCTGGGCCGTACTGTCCTCTACACTTCATAGACTACACAAGGGCCGCATCAGAAGCTGCGTGCCTGCGCGCACGGCCAGTGTACACACGGCCACTTAATGTTACGCACGTATGCATGCGGTCAACGCTTACGTGCTGTGAATGCCTACTGTTTAAATTCCCAGTTAAGTCTCTATTTTTAGAGATTTTTTTGTTGTTGAACTTTTTATTTTTTCAATTTATATTAACACGACAAGCAAAACCAACAAACTCGGAGACAAGGAGAAAAAATAATAATGGTAAAATAATATATATACATTCATATATAATCATACATCCACACCTACATATATAAATATATATATATATATATATATATATATAAACATATATTCACACATAAACGTACATATCAATAAGAATTAAATAAAAATGAAAATAGCAGTGGGTGTTATACCCAGTAAATAGAAAAGTATATTTGAGGGAATTTCCCTTTTTACAATATTTTCAACCCCTTCTTTGATGTTTTTCCAAAACCCAAGAATCACTGGACAGTCCCGGAATATATGTGTATGATCACCTGTTATACCACATTGTCTCCAGCATAAAGCTGTATTAGGATCTCTAACAAACTTTGAGATAACCAAAGGAGTATGAAAGTATTGGATTATAAGCTTCCAGTCAAATTCTTTCCACTGTTGACTATTGATCCCCTTATGACACCCCTGACAGTCTGTCCCACTGCTCATCTTCTATTATTGTATTAGATTCCAGTTCCCACTTTTCTTTGATATTGTAGGTGTTTTGAAGGATGTCCGATGACAATATTTTATATAGATGGGAAACATGTTTATGTGTAGGACGGCCTCTTTCAGAAATGGTGATAAAATATTGTTCCACCTCATTTGGTATTTTACAAATGTTTTCCCTTTCTTTATGAGTTGTAATATAATGCCTAATTTGTAAATATAAAAATAATTCGAGGGAGGTTGAACTGTTCTTGAAGTTGTAAGAACAACTTCAAGTGTGTTTCTTTGAAGAGTTGATTTAAAATTACAAGGCCTTTAGCCGCCCAACTCTTAAAACCCTGATCAGATATAGAAGGCATAAAATCTATATTCCTCACTATGGGCATAGCTCGAGAAATTGTTCCTGTGTTCTTAAGCATTTTCTTAACTTCTGCCCAGACCTTTACAGTAGGTTTTATCCATTCATTTCCAAACTTCATCTTGTTGATTTGTTTTAGGTGTATAAAGGGAAGGGCAGACAGCTGTGTTCCCCCAACTTCACCCTGTTCAATCTGACACCATTTTACCTCCTTGTCCCCACCAATCCAGGTCACAATTGCTGTTAGTTGCGCTGCCCAATAATAACATTTTAAATTCGGCAATGCCAAGCCGCCCTTATTTTTTGTCAAGTGAAGTGTTTTGAGTTTAATTCTGGGCCTTTTATGTTGCCATATAAATTGAGAAATTAATTTGTTTAGCATATTAAAAATTGAAATTGGAGCTCTTATGGGCAGAGACTGGAATAGAAACCGAAGACGAGGAAGCAAATTCATCTTGACCGTTTCAACTCTACCAAAAAGAGACAAGGGGAGAATTTCCCAACGAGTCAGATCACTGCGGATTTGCTTAATTAGCTTATTATAATTTGCATCAAAAAGTTTTGTGGTTTCAGGTGTTATAATAATACCCAAGTACCTAAATCCATGTTTAGACCAGCGAAACGACACTATCTTGTTTAGTTCCGTAGGCCACTTCCCCGACACCATCATTGCCTCAGATTTATTTTGATTAACTTTATAGCCAGAGATTTCTCCATAGTCTTTTGAGCATTGCATGAGTCGAGGTATCGTGGTAAGAGGATGTCTCATAAATAACAAGATATCGTCAGCGAAGTGAGAGATTTTGTGGACTCTACCCCCACCGTCCTCAACTTCCTCTATCAGAGCTTCCTGTCGTATGGCCTCTGCCAGAGGCTCAAGGCTGAGAGCAAAGAGGATGGGCGAGAGAGAATCGCCCTGCCTTAATCCTCTTTCTATGTTAAAGAAGTCCGAACACTGTCCATTAACTCTAATTTTAGATTTAGGATTCTTATACAGTACCCGAAACCAGCTAGTACATTTTTCCCCAAAGCCCATCTCAATTAGTCTGTTCCAAAAATTGCCAATCAACCCGATCAAATGCTTTCTCAGCATCTAAGCTGAGAAGCATTGAAGGTCGTTTATCCCTTGCCATAAGTGACTGCAGATTGAGCGTTCTTCTTATATTAGCTGTCCCATGGCGCCCTAAAATGTCTGATCAGATTTTATTAGTTTCTTAATATATCTTTGTACTCTAGTTGCTAAGATAGATGTTAGTATTTTATAATCCACACACGAGAGACTGATGGGACGATAACTAGAGCACTGCAGAGGATCTTTTCCTTTATGCAGGACTGTAATGATGGCCTCCGACCATGACCCCGGAGGATTCCTTGATTCTAAGACATAATTGTATAGCTTGCATAGCATTGTTGCAAGTTCATTAATAAATACTTTGTAGTATTCCCCCGCAAACCCATCCATTCCGGGCGACTTATTATTCTTAAATGTTTTGTTTCTTTCACCTCTTTTTCTTTAATTGGTTGTACCAGCGCAGTGGTTTCATTGGTTGTCAATTTGTCTAACCTGAGATTTTAAAGATATGTTTTATTTTCTCCTCTTTTAATTCCTGAAGTTGACCCCTATACAGTTGTTCATAGTACTTAGCAAAGGTATTAGATATTGTTTTTGGGTTACTCTCAACATCATTGGAGTGAAGTTGTTTAATTTTAGGAACTATACGACTGTTTTGGGGCGACAGTAGCTCAGTTGGTAGAGCATTGGCCTTTAGGCCAGAAGGTCGTGGGTTCAATTCCCACCTCTGCACCTTCTCCACCGACTCCCACTGATGACTGCTGTCGTTGTGTCCTTGCTATGAGACTTGGGTGGCATCTCTGATTGCCACCCCCCTGACCCAGAAATGGATTAAAGGGGAGAAAATGGATGGATGGATGGACGACTGTTTTGTGCCTTCTGTAATTGAAATGATAATAATCTACTGGCCTTATTTCCCAATTCATAATATTTCTTATTAATGAAACAAAGTGCCCCCTCTGCCCTATACGTCATTATCTCATCTAGTTTGGTTCTTTTTTATCAAGTACTTCTTGTCTTCCACCTTGTTTGTGTTCACTTTCTAAAATTTTGATTTCACTTTTTAATTGTTTATTAAAACTGTCTTTCTTTAACCTTGATCCAATAGATATTATTTTGCCCCTTATTGTAGCTTTTCCTGCATCCCATAAGACAGAGGGTGAAACCATTCCATTATCATTCAAAGTAAAATATTCAAGTATTGCTGACCTTAATTCTTCCCTTATATTGATATCAGTCAGTAACGAGACATTAATCCTCCAATACTTCATACCCGACTCAAGGCCTATGTCAAGTGCCATTTTAACTGGGCTATGGTCGGAAATGGTCATTGGTTCAATAAAACAGGTCTTAACCCGGTACATGTCTTTTTTTGAAACCAGCAAGTGATCCAGTCGAGAATAACTCGCGTGTACTTGTGACATAAATGTGAAATCTCTCTTGTTGGGATACAGGTGCCGCCAAGCATCCGTTAATCCCAATTCTTTCATCATATTCAATAAACATTTAGACATTCTGGTTAGAGGCCTTGTGGATATAGGTAATTTATCTATTCTATTGTTAAGTACGCAATTAAAGTCCCCACCAATAAGCAAAATAACCTCCCCATTATCTGCAACCAGACCAGCCAGTCTTTTGAAGAAATGCGGACAGTCCTCGTTAGGTGCATAGACATTCAAAATGGTTATTTTAAGTCCTGCAATTGTTCCCATGACCATAACGAAACGACCCTCCGTATCCGAAGAACCTTTTCACAATGAAAGTACAACGATCTATTAAACAATATAGCTACACCTCTCTTTTTATGTTCACTAAAAGAGCTACTGTAAACCTGATCTACCCATTCTCTTCTTAATTTTTGGTGTTCCTTTTCTGCAAGGTGTGTTTCTTGAAGTAAAACTATAGAACAATGAGTTTTCTTCAGCTGTCCCAGTATCTTATTCCTTTTAACTGGGTTGTTTATTCCTTTTACGTTATAGGTAACAAAGTTAAGCAAAGTCATCCTTGCACTTATATTGGTTTAAAAAATATAGCGCTAACCCTTCATTAGCATCTGTCAAATGAAACAAATGAAGCCATTTCAGCACTGGATGTACAAAACTTAAAAAGAAAACTAAATCCTGTCTCAGAAGTAACACAAAAAGAACCCTACAAACATAGAACAGAACTTCCACTTTTCCAGCCGAATATTAACAAACTATGGCCGACCCCCCCCCCCCCATGATACTGGGACAGAGAGTGGTGACCTGACCCCTCTGTGGAGAAGCACACACAATGTGCAAAAACGACCAATATTACACTAACATGTAAAAAAAGGTCTTATTGAGTGTGAATCACTCATGTAGACATCAAGATTCCCATCAGATTATTTCTATTTATTTTTGTGTATATCCCTCGTGACAACTTCACGTTTTATCAGTCTAACAGCTTTCAGTCTGTTCATTATTGTCCATATATAATCAACCGTATGATTTTAAGTGACGTATACCTCAGACTATTCCGCCTCATCTTCTCCTTCCATCATAGCTCTCAGATCCGAAGTCACCAAACACCGCCTCTCTTCCTCTTCGCATCGATGTTCTGCTTCTTCTGTAGCTCGGGAGAATAATCTTGATCAAAGAATATTCTCTTGTCTTGAAACATCACCGGTCCTTGGCTCCATGCTTGTTGTAAAACGACGTCTTTTACGGCCGTGTAAAGGAATCTCTCAATGATTGATCTGGGGGGAGCCGCTGGATTAATTGGTCTGACTCTGGACATAAGCGAGCGGTGCGCTCTTTCGATCTTTATGTCCAAATTAGGTGGCAACTGCAGCACTTTAGGGAGCAAATCTTTCACAAATGCAACCATATTGCGTAGCTCACTTCCCTCCGGTATTTGGAATATTTGAATGTTATTTCCCCTCAGCCTATTTTGTAGATCGTCACAAGCATCGCCTCGCCCCTTCGTCCTCCACACCGCTCACTCTCACCTCCAGCTCGCCAATCCTCTGCTCATGTTCAGAGTTTCCCCTTAATGTCAATCACAGCCTTTTACAGGCGTTCAAGGGTCTGTGTTGTCTGTCTATGCCCCTGACTGTTTTCTTTACGAATTTTTCTCATTTCCTGTATTACAAACATCTCGGGCTCGCATGCTACTTGTTGCTCGCGGCTAGTAGCATCTGAGCTAACGTTGTCTGTCTTCGGTGATTTATCGTCTGTTTCTTTCAGAGCACCCAATTTTCCATGTACCCTGGTCCTCGAATTGGATGACATATTGTTCCCAAGTTGTTTTATTATATGAAAGCCTCTAATATCTGTAATTGTCACAGATTTCTAACTTTTTGTGACGGAGATTCTTCTCTAGGCTGTTGTTCTTATCATGACGTCACCGGAAGTCCCTATTTTTAGAGATTTTAAGGGTTTTGGGACTTGCAAGTTTCAATTGTATTACTTCTGCAAATAGAATTGGCACACTAATCATGATGTCAGATCAGCATCTTGATTTGGCACACCTGTGAGTTAGGATGGTTATTGCGCCGTAATTTTAATCTGTTTAAAACTTGACTAGGACTTGCGGGACTCCTGGGTTAGAGATTTGGATTTGAGTTGGGCCTGCGAGTCAGGGATTTGTTTCCATCTCTTTTACAAAGTGCTTTTATGTCTCCAAAATTACAGATATAGGACATATTATTGAGTGACATGATTCACTGCATTTCATGTTTTTCAATTTGCAATTATGTGAAAATGTGGGCGACAGTGGCTCAGTTGGTAGAGCATTGGCCTTTGGGCCTGAAGGTTGTGTGTTCAAACCCACTGCAAGACCTACATCACCACTCCCACTGATGTCTGTTGTCGTTGTGTCCTTGGGCAAGACACTTAACGTCACTTTGCCTGAAGCCCCCGCTGAAATATCAAGCCCCCTGTGGACTTTCTACCTGCAGGAGGATCAGTGAGGGGCTGGTGCTATGTGTACTGGGTGCAGCTCTGACTGCTACCCCCTTGACCCAGACATGGATTAAGGGGAAGAAGATGGATGGATGGAATTATGTAAAAGAAAGAATTTAGAATAAACTGTAGAGGAAGTGCTAACTCATTCAGCCAGTGTTTGATTCATATCATTTTAATATTTTAAACTTTTTACACTAAGTACCATCTCAGAAAATACTTGCCTCTCCAAGTACCACCTCAAATGACCAACACTATACAGTAGCGTAGTAAGCCTAAGTATTCATCAAAAACTAAAATTGTATGCAGTTTCAATAGTAAGATATTGGAAACAAAAACCTAAAAACTGTACTTGAATAATGATTCAATTATGAATGAATGAATTATATTCTGGAGTGGGATGGCCTTCTTTGATCTATGCAAAGCACGGCATCGCGATGGATGAGGCAAAACTTATTGAAAGCAATTGGTAAAAAGAGGTGGAGAGTAAAGAACTCCAACATGTCCAGGCTTTTTTTTTAAAGCGAGTCAATATTGACATTGCGCGAAAAAAAACCGGCAGATTTACGATCAGGAAACAATTATTTCAAAGTAATATATGAAAAAAAATGACACAAATTTCTTAATAATCATTGTCATTAACAAACACTTATAACCAAGGACTACAAGCATATATCAATACATATATAATAATGTAGTAAATATTTTTTTCCTTTGTATTTCCAATGGAAAACGGACCATACGCACGTCGACGTACGTAAAAAAATAGGATTGTTGTCTGTCCGCGTCCGTTGCACCCTTCGTGGACGCACTGCTCCCTACGCGCGTCATACGGACGCATGTCGCGGGCAGTGGAGCCGCTTCCACTCACCCTCATGGAGAAAACGGAAACGGAGATGAAACGGACACGTTTGGACGGACACGTTTGGACGGATACGTAGTACGTTTTACGCAGTCGGGGCCTTGGCTATGCTTGGTCTGCTGCACTCTTACATCTGCCATTTACTCACACAGAGATGTTGGTTCATATGGTTTGCAATCAAATAATCTTTTGTTGCTCTCTGTTCCACAGAACTGGAAGAAAGTTACATTGAAATGTAACTTTTATAATCTGTAATTGTATTTTTTTTCTTTATTTCAGTGATTCTAGAGGGAGCCCTGTGTACCACTAGTGATACCACACTTTGAGAATCACTGTTTTAAAGTGTAATTTCAATTTGAAAATTCCCATATGACAGTTTAAACTTTACTTGTCACAAAACAATGCCTAGATGATATATTCAATTATTGTCCATATTTTTATCATATAGCTGTACTGGTTGTAAATGATGACATAAGGAATGTTATTTGTCTGGAGAGATTCACAACAATAATTTGGATGCAAATTATTGCTTTGATGGAAATGAGGCGGTTAGACTCGACAGAAGGGACCGTGCTGATGGAGGAGGTTGGTGAATTTTGAGGGGGCGCCAGGTTATGGAGGGACTTGAATGTGATGAGGGGAGGACCTTATATTGTGTAGTTTGGTATTGAACGGGGAGCCCATGGAGTTTGAGGGTAGGGGTTTTGTGGTCTCTTATGATAATAATAAAAATGCATCGGCTTTATATAGCGCTTTTTTGGACACTCAAAGATACTTTGTCATTATTAATTCACTCCATACACGGTTGTGATAAACTACAACTGTAGCCACAGCTGCCCTGGGGCACACTGACAGAAGTGAGGCCACCAGTATGTGCCACCGGCCCCTCCGATCACCACCAACCATTCACACACACACCAGACTCATTCCAGGCTGGCTGGTGTTCCCAGAGGTTAAGTGTTTTGCCAAGGACACAACGAAGGTAGACATCAGTGGGAGTCGGTGGAGAAGGTCCTGTGGTGGGTTCAAATCCACGACCTTCAGGCTCAAAGGCCAACGCTCTACCAACTGAGCTACTGTTGCCCTACTGATGATGATGATGAAGAGGAGGGGATCAAGTACCTAATCTTGGATAACTGCTTTAGACATGAGGCTAAAATGTTGCAGCCCTGATTTCCCTTTTTCTTTGTCTTTGTTATATATTATGTATACTTGTGTGTGAACAATGTGTATGTATACTTGTGTGGCAGTTGACGGCGGTGCATCTGGTGGACTCTCACTACTGCACAGATCCAGCTAAGTTCATCTCGGTACTTTGCACTTCTTTGTCCACCATGCTTCACGTGGAGCTGCCTCACGTCAACATTCTCTCCAAGATGGACCTTATCGAGCAGTACGGGAAACTGGGCGAGTCACAATATCCTAAATAAAAAATACCTTAAATATATACATTTTAGCCCAGGGTTATTTTTACCCTAATTTGGGGTATTTTTCTGCTACTTTGAATCACTGTGGCGGGAAACTTTGACGCAAGGGGAGCATAAGGGTTAAACCAGTGTTAATTTTGTGCACTAAAATACTTTGTAAATATCAATAAATGAGGGGCAAGTCTCTGCTCATAATGGTGCCTCACTACCTGGCCGAAAATTGATGTTTGAAAAGATTTATATAAGTATTTGGTTGCCTAAAAATTTAAATTCCCTCGTTCTAAAGCAGTTTGTTATCACTTCCCATGAGTCAAAAACTGCTTTAAGGCTTGGTTCAAAGCACGGTTTGAGAGTTGTTGTTTTTTTGGCCATTTGCAGCCCACACATTATCAATACTTTCTCTATTATCACACCTTTAGACTTTTTTCTTTAGTCAACTTTTTTAGACTGAAAAGTAAAAAACAGAGGTCCACTCTCACTCAGCCAATCAGCTCTTTACCCTAAGTTGAGAGAAAGTGGGAGTTTTAACTTGCACTATGACCAGGCCCTGTGGCGCACATTGTGCAAGTTGAACTTGGGGGTTAATTATCTTTGAGATGTGATGCTCCCTGGTCCACTAGTCACCTCGTTAACAACAAATATGTCTCTACAGCCTTCAACCTTGACTTCTACACGGAGGTTATGGACTTGTCTTTTCTACTTGACCATCTGGCCTCAGACCCGTTCTTCAAGAGGTTTCGGCGACTTAACAAAAAGTTGACAGAGGTCATTCAAGACTATGGCCTGGTGTCATTTGTACCACTCAACGTGCAGGTAGCAAAGACACAACTCTTTCCTTTTGTATGTTTTTTAAATTTACATAACATTACATTATCTCCATAGGCTTGTGGTGGCTCAAAAAATATAATGATTTTTGTTTTTTGTTGAAAGGACAAAGAAAGCATGACGCAGGTTTTGCGAGCTGTAGACAAAGCCAATGGTTACTGCTTTGGGGATTTGGAGGAGAGAAACCTGCAGGCCATGATGTCCGCGGCAGTGCAGGCAGACTTCCAGTTTGATTCGTATCCTTTCACATCAGAATCAGAATTATTTCTATTGCTATTGTGAGTATCAGGATGTCACAAACAAGGAAATTGCTTTGGCAAACAAGTTGTAAAAGTAAAAATAGAATAAGGTACGCATAAAAATGATAAAAATCTACATTTCTTAAAATGACTACTGTCATTTTAAAATTAATACTACTAGTACTACTACAAAATGACTACTGTTATTTTAAGAAATGAGAGTTGCAATTTCCTAAAATGACAGGTGCACTCCACAATAGATGTTTAGCAGTTTGTTAAAGTGACAGTAAGGTGGTGGTTATAAAGGCCAGGGGACAGTGATGAGTAGGGGTGGGAACCTAAGGGTACCTCACGATACGATACGATACGCAATACAAAGCTCACGATAACGATTATATCACGATATGACGATTATTGATATATTGGTCAGCAATATACCATATGCCAATATATGGCATACATGGAATAGAAAAATTTTAAGTGAAAAAATACACTATTTCCTGATAAATGGAATGGAGATGTGTAATGTAGCCATATATTAAGTGTTGATACTAATAAAAAATAAATTTTAAAAAATCGATACTTGGCAAATGCATATTGATAATCGATCGCGGAAGAAAGTATCGCGATATATCAAAAAATTGATATATCGTCACACTCCTAGTGATGAGTTTGTGAGTCCAACTGCGGAGGGAAAGAAACTGGAAGGTTCTGGCCCGGATGGGAGGTTCTGTTCTGGATGGACCGTAGCGATCTCTTGAAACGTTCCGTTCAGCTGCGTACTGATAGGAGCCTGTTGCTTCGATTACGCCTCTGAGTGGCTATAGTGTCATGCAGAGGGTGTCTGGAGTTTCCCAGGATGCCCTGCATAAGGGCCCTCATCCTTATATCCAGCACAGCTCCCACAGAGTCCACACTTCTTCCCATCACATAGGCATATTTCCTGATCAGCCAAGTTCCTGTCTCTCGAGGTCAACTGCCGCCCCAACACGCAACCCTAAAGAACACGGCACTAGCTACCACAGACTGGTAAAAAATGTGCAACATTTGACTGCTCACATCAAAGAACATCAGTCTTCTCCAGTTTCTCCCTCAGTAAGAGAGGTTGGATGGTGTTGTATGCACTGGAGAAGTCGAAGAACATGATCCTCACATATTCTCCAGGGCCATCCAGGAAGGACACGGATCGATGGACCGTGTCATCCACTCCTATGTTCTCCTGATAGGCAAACTGCAGGGGGTCAAGAGCCTGCTCAACTTGTGGTATGAGCAGTCGGAGTGCTAGCCTCTCAAAAGTCTTCATTATGACAGATGTTAGTGCCACTGGTCTGTAGTCCTTGCTGCCATGGGGACAGGTACCAAGCAGGGGGTTTTCCAGCGGGCAGGGACACATCCAGTCTGAAGTCTCTTGTCAAAGATGGTATGGAGAGGCTCTGCTAACTCCGCTGCACATTCCTTCAGGAACTTTGGCGTTATCCCATCAGGCCCGGCAGACTTCCTCCCCTGGAGCTTTTTTAGCTCCACCTGGACATCCTAAAAGAAGGACGCAGCAGCAGGGGTGGTGTCGAACCGGTTGTAAAAGTGGTTAAACTTATACCCGGCTGCCTCACTGCCTTTCGCTTTGTATCCGGTAATGGCCCTTCCACACTTCCCGGGTGTCGTTGTTCTGCAGTTTCTTCTCCAGACCATTCTTGTACTCCCTCCTTGCCTGTCTCAATGTCCTCTTCAGGTCGTGTTGGACAGTTCTCACCTGGTCCCTGTCACCTGTCTTAAAAGCCTGTTTCTTTAGGTTCAAATTGTGTTTGTTGTCACTTGTGATCCAAGGTTTGTTATTTGTAAAAAAGCGGACTGTTGTCTTTGGCACAGCGACATCGGTATAGTAGTTGATGTAATCTGTAACACTGCCCACAGCCTTGTTAATGTCCTCCCCTGAGCTCCCCTGTTGTCCATTGCCTGAATGATCTACAGACTAGGGGCATTCTCATCACAGTTGGCCTATAGATAGAGCTTTAGATAATCAGATTGTGATCAGACCACTAGACCCAATGCATTCTTCACATTCACAAAGCTAAGATGTTGTTGTGTCGTGTAGGACAATCTACATATTGTGTAAAGCCAGCCAAGTGCGAGCTTACATCAACATGGTTGAAGTCCCCTGATACTATCATCAATGCTTCAGAATGCTGTGACTGAATTTACAGCAGTCACAGACAGTACCTCCTTGGCTTCTTCTTAGCTCCGGCTTAACATCCTCTGAAGGGCTTCTTGATCTGCAGAGGGATCGGATGCTTCATCCCACATGGGCTTCGTCGTAGCAGAAGGAGCTTTGAAAATATTTGCATTCCTCCAGTTGATTTACACTCGATCTGCTTGTTTCGGACATTGCATCCTCTTTGCTCTGGATCAGTTTAAAACTGTTACGACCTAGCTCTGCTAGGGTAAGGGAGGTAACAAAAAAAACAAGATGTTAAATGGCAAAGCAAGTATTTAATGACAGGAATTTAAATGATAAGTTGACATAAACCAAAAGGACACAATACAGGACATAGGGGGGTAACTCAACGTTACCAAAACAAAACCTAGACTAAATCTTTACATTAATACACAGATAAACTAAACACTAAACTGACTGCTGTCTTTCCACAAAGTGACAACAAAATTGAGACAAACCAACTGAAAGCTATGCATACTGTCTCTTAAGTCATTGTCACCCCTTGTGACAATTACAGACATTTCTTAAGGACAAAAATGGCATACCAGCCACACACAGGCTGGCAGCCCGAACAGGTGTGGAGTGTGGGCTTAAGTAGGAAGATGACTCCAGGTGGGGAAGCTGGATTGGTCCGATCGGCATCTGAGTCACAGACGTCTAGGAGGCGGGAGGGCCAGTTTTTGATCAATCACAGGCCAGGCATCTAAGGATAGGAGGGGTTGCCACAAACACAAGCACACCAGACTCAGAACAGGAGCAATTTACAGGCCTAGGGTGGTAACAAAAACCATAAACACTGTACTGGAATAAAATTAATCTACAGCTAGAAAAAGTAAGAAAAATAACGGTTGTAGAGTACAATATCTTCAGAGCTGCTAGCACGTGCTGCCGTTTTCCAGCGCATTCAAATCATGACAACCTATGAACATGCCTCTGCAAAAAGATTAGGTTGTTTTGGCCAAAAAGATCCACAAAACATACTATAAAAAAGTGTGTGTTTATGTGCGTGTAGTCTAGCCTGGTCTTACCACACCATCGTACAGATTTAATTTCGTACTAAGATATGCTCAAGCCCCGGCGATCCAATATTCAAATTAATGGCTTGTGCTCAGTAGCGCATGGGACATACAGTCAGAGCAGGAAGGAAATGAGCATAGTTTGTGACAGTAAAGTGTGGATTTAAAGAAAACTGAAGGATTTAGGAAGAAAAAATTTTCAGGATGACAAGGGACATTAAAATCCCCCACAAAATACGACCTTTGTGAAAGCTGTAGGCTCTCTGTCAGCTGAGGTCGAGCTGTTTTAGTTTACATTGAGTTTTATGGGACTTTTTCCTGGGTAGCCCAGTGAATTTAGTCTGCAGTACCACAGGCGCCCCCTGTGCCCATTGGTGGGACAGCTGTAAACTAGTAATACCCTATCCAGTTATTATTACAGATCCATGGATTTGCTCCTTTGAGGTGGGGTTAACTCCTTTTGCGGATTGAAAGAAGCAAGAAGATCAGAGGAAGACAAGCTAAAAATAAGTATATGAGACCGAACTGAACAAATTCAAAGCCCATATGAGATCTGGGATGGCAACAAACATTGGACAGGCTCTTACTTATAGAAAACCCGGGACCCTTCACGCAAAAAGGGTCCGTGGCGTTTTTCACCACGGTATAATTGGGCCGGCTTTTCGCTGTCGTGGTAAAGTGGTCCTCACATTAAAAGCGGGTTGCCACTTTATGCTGTATGCAATGTGTGCAGTGAAAGTAGTTGCTCACACTTTTTTTTCTGATTTTTTTTACCCCTCATCCCCCCGTGCGGACCACTTTACCGCGGTCGTTTTTCACCCTTCTTTTCTGGAGGAATAAGACAAAAAATTATCTAAAACTAAACGTCTAAACGTCTAAAACTAGCTAACTTTCTAGCATCCAGGTAGCTTTCTATGCTGTTTTGCCACAGTCACGTGACCAGCGCGGAAAAACTATAAACAAAGACGTCACTCCAAGATCCGCCTATAAATAGGGGTGTACTAGTATAATGAGGGTGTAATATTTGTATGCTTTTAATATTTTTAGCTTTTTGCTTATTTGTATAGTTTAGTGTATGCAGTGGTTTCAGTCATTTATACAGGTTTTCCTTGATGCTTGGTTTTACAGAACACTTGGAGTCCATGAGCAATATGTTGAAAGCAGCGAAAAGAGCGTGGAAGAGGAGATGATGGAACTGTGACATCAATGAAACGTGTTGGAAGACATGGGTGTACCAAGTGCTCTGTAATGAGTCCACAGCAGCTGCAGTGCACGTTTCCTCCAGCAGAGGGCGCGTGTGCTGGCCTCCTCTCCTACCACGTCCCCCTTAAACTCTGCTCCGTCTTTTGCAAATTGCCAAAGCGCAAAAATGAAGTCAGGCGGAGGGAGGAAGCCACATTAAAAATCTTGATTTCTGCACAGCGAGCCCCGTGTCTGCTCCATGAGATTGTGAAAAAGCATGTGTGATTGAAAAGGCAACTCATTTCTAGTCACACTGAAGCGTTTAACTTGGAATAGAAATACATTTTACTGATTTGAGAGGATTGGTTGGATTATCTACCATTGGTTGGAACAAGATACTTAAACAGCAGCAAAAAAAACCTTTGATCGCTCTTAATCAGGAAGCATATCTTCCAATGTCAGATGACTTTGCATGACCTGTTCAATCTAAAGTGTCAATTCAAGTCTTCACAGGGATATACATTATTAGCCTATAGTAGTGTATGAATAAAAAAAATATATATTTTCCAAATTCCAGTGTTCCAATGCACGGTACAGAACAGTGGAAATGGTATGTACACAGACGAGTTTTAATCGATCCTTTGTAAACATAAAAAAACAATTAAAAACATACCCTTCTGTGATGTGTATTTCTTAAAGAGCTGATAATACGTTGTGTGAAAAGGCTTGAAAGTAGTATTTTTATGGCAGTGCGTGGATGGAGGCGGTTGGAGTGGGATTAGGGGGTGTGTCAGGTGGGATGTGAAATGTTTGTACATGTGATCAAATATGTGCCTCCTCACTGCTGTGCTTCCCACCACGGCCCGTAGAGTCATGAGTGACTTGATAGGACACTCAAATGTGGGTTGATGGATTGATTTTAAAGATTTTGCAATGGCTGACAATATCAAATTTTTTCCATATTGCACATTCTGACATTTAAATGATCATAGTACAGATAGAATAGTAGTTCTACGAATCGATGCTCTCTGTCGGTGGGTGTGACTTTCTGGTGGTGGGTGTGACTCTTGAGGCACCTAACCACCGCCAGAGAGGAAGATCCAATGCTCCAATCACAAGCAAGCTCCTCCTATAAATAGCCGAGCCCAGGCCTGCACTGCCACTTTGAACTTGACCAAAGGCAGACTGGCCTGATGGGCCTGCAGCTAATTGGCTACGCATCTATTTGTAGAACTAGTTACATAGGTAACTACTATTTCTACATCATAGTTATAGACTGTATATATTAACGGACGTAGTCACGCCTATCTCCGCCATTCTAACAAATGGGCCAAAATTGGACTCTCATGGACTGATTCATAATGGCCGCGGGGGCTGGAAAATGTGAAAAAACGCATCTGCGCATGCGCCAGCCGGCGCGAGTTAAAAGAGTGACTTCAAAAATTCACAGCGAGTAAACTAGAGTGGTCCAAAAAATTTCACTCCCCTCAGCATTGACTAGGGCCGGAGTGGGACAATTTTTTGGCCCGGGAATTCTGGGTCACACCGGCCCTTCTGATAAAGTAGTCTATCAAAAAAAACTGAACTGCCTGCTGTTGTAATATCCATAACAATCAGCAGGTGGCCTAAAATCAAGTTTTGTAAATTACCAGACTAGTACTAATCAAATTAATCTTCGTTAACCCCTTTTAGATTTCTCAGTGTTAGTCACAAAATAACTCAATAATGCATTTGAATAAATCATGATACTTTAATATTCTGGTATCACAATATGAATTGTAGCAAATTTTAGACTGACTCTCGACTTATGTGGATATAAAAAGCATGAATTTCACAAATTTTAGAACAATGTCAATTTTCATTCAAATAATTGTTATTCCCAAAGATTTGGCTATATTTTTTTTTATAATACATTGAATTGATTCGAAACCATTAAACTATTATCCTCCTTTCAAGACTAAACAAAAACAAAGACTAATGCAAATACTACACTAAGACAAAACAGTGCTTGCTACAACTTTAAACAAAACCAAAATTAATCTTAATGCACTTTAATGATGTCCCAGGGGAGAACTAAAAGCAAACTAAATGTTAACCTGTATCAAGACGAGAAAACACAAACTGCACACTATTTAAATCAAACAAACCCAAATTAACAATAGCAAAATGAAGAACATTAAAACATGAGTAAACTCTGTAGAAGTGCACTTGTTTCTGTTACTTTGTTTATGATAATTGTTATTATCCAATGACAAAGGATGTCTTTTCTGTAGATATGAGCATAAATGCTTCACATCTTTTGACACACACACAAAATATTCAACTGTTACTTTCCTAATGTTTTACTTTTCCTCCCCCTGGATGTTCAGCAGCGTGTGGGAAAGTGGTTTTCTCCTGAAATCGATGACCATCTCCTTGGTCTTACTGGTGTTCAAGCACAAGTGGTTGCGCTCACACCAGTCGACAAAGTCTGTGATAACCGACCGATATTCCAGATCGTTCCCCTCAGACACACAGTCCACGATGGCGGAGTCGTCGGAGAACTTCTGCAGGTGACAGCTGTGTGTGTCGTGTGTGAAGTCTGAAGTGTAGATGGTGAAGAGAAACGGTGAGAGGACAGTGCCCTGAGGGGCCCCAGTGCTGCAGACTACCACCTCAGACTCACAGCTGCGCAGCCGCACGTACTGTGGTCGCTCTGAGAGGTAGTTGATGGTCCATGCAGTGAGGCTACTGTCCACTCCAGCGTCCTCCATCTTCCCCCGCAGCAGTGCCGGTCTGATGGTGTTGAAAACACTGGAGAGGTCAAAAAACATGAACCTCACAGCGCTCCCGGCGGGCTCCAGGTGGGAGAGCGTCCACTGCAGGAAGTAGATGACGGCGTCCTCTACTCCAATGTTGGGCCTGTAGGCGAACTGCAGCGGGTCCAGGGTGGGGCTGACCACGGAGCGGAGATGGGTGAGGATGAGCCGCTCCATGGTCTTCATCAGGTGGGAGGTCAGTGCGACTGGTCTGTAGTGACCCGGTTCCTTGGCGTGCGCTGTTTTAGGAACCGGGATCACACAGGAGGTCTTCCACAGGACAGGGACCTTCTCCAGGCTGAGGCTCAGGTTGTACATGTAGCTGAAGACCTCACCCAGGACCATCACCCAGGACCTCAAGTGGGCGCCAACCAACAGCTCCCTCATCAAGAAGGCCCAGCAGAGGATGTACTTCCTGCGGCAGCTCCGGAAAGCCAAGCTGCCTGCACAGATGTTGGTGCAGTTCTACACGCCCATCATCGAGTCCATCCTCACCTCCTCCATCACCGTGTGGTTTGCTGGAGCCGCTGTCAGGGACAAGCAGAGACTACAGCGCATTGTGCGCTCTGCAGAGAAGGTGATCGGCCCCAGCCTTCAATCGCTGCAGGACCTGTAGGTCGCCCGAGCTCGAGGCGGGGCTGGTCGTATCACAGCCGACCCCTCTCACCCTGCACATGGACTATTCCAACCACTCCCCTTAGGCAGGAGGCTGCGGTCCATCAGGACTAGAACCTCCCACCACAAGAACAGTTTCTTCCCCTCTGCTGTGTGACTCTTGAACACTTCTTAACCTCCCCGCCCTCTAGAAGTCCCCTACTGCTCTTTATAAAGTCACTTTACTGCCCTTTATAATGTCACTTTACCGCCCATCATACGTCACTTTATCTCACTGTACTGCTGTCATCTTACATTGTGTGCACCATGTGCACTGTATATTGTTTTTTTAGTGTTTTTTTATTTTATATTATTCTTTCTCTGACTGTTGCACTGAGCCAAAGCAATTTCCAAGTCTGTGACCTGCTGTTACTTACGTGGCAATAAAAATTATTCTGATTCTGAAAAGAGACAGATGTACTCACCAGAACTGACTGACAAAACTGATGCCAGAGCAAAACGACCACAGAAAGATCCTACCAACCTTAACCTAGCTCGCCTAGCTGACAAACCCATTCAGAACCTGACTGGACAGACTCTTTCTTTCTGCGAAAGGCAAGTAGCGTTGGGTCCGCTGCTCCTGTAACCTCTCACCCGACGATCCTGGACCGGAGGCCTTGCTGGAGAAGGGAGAGCTGAGCTGAGGGCGAGAGCGTCGCCTGAGAGATCGCTCTCTGCCTACTTGCTCTCTGCCTACTTGCTCTCTGCCTACCTGCTCGTAGCTCCGCGACGCCTGACGGGAGTCACAAAGCGGGACCATATGAGGCGCCAATTTGGCCGAGTGCTGGGCCGCGGTGTCCAGCCTGTCCACTAACCACGTCATGTCTGGACCAAAGAGGGAAGACGTTGAAATGGGAAGATATAACAGCTGCTTTTTCTCCGCCTCTTTCAACTCGGCAAGGCCCAGCCAGAGGTGGCGGGCACCGACCTGCGCCGCTGCCATGGAGTGGCCTCCATCAATGGCCAGCGCCTGGGCCACTCTGAGGAGTGCTGCAGAGGTGGTCCGCGCATCACTCAGGTCCTCAAAGCTCAGCTCCTGGCCGGTGGAGAGAGACTTATCCAGGGCTCCGGTTATGAAAGCTATGTTGCTGCCCAACGCCACAACCTGAGCTACGTTGGCATAACAGTGATCCATCGTCATCCTATCCCGTTCAGAGGCAAGGAGCGGTCTGCTACCAGGCCACAGGGAAGAGGAGGGGAGCAGAGCCAGTCTCACCGCGTCCTCGATGTCCGGTATGCCCCTGGACCATGACCACTCATGGACAGAGCAATAAAGCCTATACCCCAGCGCTGGGCGCCTGGCCCCAAGAGGTTTGGGCCAATCACGAGTGGCATAGTGGAAGATAGTATGAGATTTCATAACACTTTTAAGCAACTTTTGTTAAAGTTAAACTCATCAATCTATCAATGTGCAGAAGCCAGTACTTTTCCCTTGTTTTGTCTATCTGAAGGCCAAGCTACAAGCACACCGTGGAAGCTGCTGATTGGAGGTCTTCATGCCTCCGCTCTGTATAATACACTTGCATTCTCTTGTATCTGTGATCGTGTGTTTTGTTCGTGCTGTCTC